TGCAGCTTTCTTGTAATTTCTTTAAGGAGTCTTCAGGAATATTTTTCGAGATGCCTTGAAGGACATTCAACGCTCTTCTTTGGATGTTGGCTGCCTTTAGCTCTGTTCTCTGTTGGAATGATCACACACTGCTTCAATAATGCTGAGGTCCGGGCGCCATGAATCATGGAGGCCAGTCCATGAGTGATGGTGTTCCACTCTGTGATTATTATTATTTTTTTCCATTCCTTGTATGGTCTTACTGCATTGGCTGTGTGTTTGGGACCATTGACATGCTGAAAAATAAACCTATTGCCAATCAGACACTTTCCAGATGGTATTGTATGGTGAGTCAAAATCTGACCTTGTTTCTTTGCATTCATAATTCCAACAATGATGACAAAATCCCAACACCACCGCCAAACCATGACAGAGCATCCACTGTGTATTACAAATGGTTGTGTCCATTAGACCTGTCAACACTGAATTTCAGTCCAGTTCTGGTGTAATTTGGCATGCCTCTGCCCTTCCTCCCACTTTCCCTTTATTAAGCACGACTTCTTGACAGCCATCCTTACACTGAGACCATTTCTGATGAGGATTCGGTAAATAGTAGATGAATCAACTGAAAGGTCAGAAAGATCTTTTTTGTGTAGACCTGCTATGTCTCCTTTACCCTCCACTTTTCCACGTTCCTCAAATTAAGGGACATAGAGAAAACTACAATAAGATATGCATCTTGTCGATGCACAAGTACTATTTTACACCTGTTAAACTGTGTTATCTTTGGTATTTTTCATAGCTCACACTAAAGGAATATCAAGAAATTATGTGTTTCTGCGATGGTAACAAAGTGCCTAAAGATACAGTTTAAAATTGGTTCTTTGCTCAGTTTTCTGTTATGTGTAGACAACATGGTTTCATCACTTCAGCTACATGCTTCTTTCAAGCTTGAATGAGTTATAGGTCAGTGTTAAGTGGGTTAATAAACAAAACATTCCTCTAAATGAGGAATGATCAAGTACGAGGACTGGACTAAAATCAGGGCAAAAGCATCCAATTTGAACGGCCTTCAGAAAGCCTGGAGGAGGTACAAATTACAAAATATGAAAAACTGAAGGGAAGGGTTAAAACAATGTTTAAAATGTATTGTTTAAATAAATGTTGTTGTTTTTTTAAAGCACTATTCAGGTTCTCAGGACTACACAAATATAACATAATCATTCATATCTGACATCTGCAAAGAGCTTTAAAAGTTTTTCTGGGTTTCCCCCCCAGGCATGAGGTTTTAAAAGATTGTTTTCAGCTCTTACGTGACATGCCCGAAAAAAGCCCCTTCTGCGTCACTGAGGTTTGTAACGTTTACGTGCAGGCAAAACAAATATCCGACGAGCATGTGAAGGCAGCACTCAGCTGGTAGTTCCCTGAGCAGCAGACGTCGGAGCGAGGTACTGACAGAAAATATGTGAGTTTCATGTGTTTAGCCGAACATCTGACTGCGATTTTAGGATTATTAGAAGAGTTTCTGTTGTAGTTTTTATCTTGTATGCGTGGAAGACGTCGGTTAAGTCCAGGGTGCGGTCTTTTAGGCTGTTTTGCTTTCGATTTCTTCTTCTTTCTTTTTTTAATGAGCTATCGTGAGTTTACGGCCTTCAAAAGTTTATAAAACACATTTGAGGTCATCGGCTGACAAGGGGGATGTCTTAAAAATAGCATTTAAGTCATTTCAGTTGTAGGAAAGTTGATTTTCAGATCGTTTTTGGAGCGTAAGCAGTCAAAGAATAGAACAATGGTAAGTGCGCAAAAGCAAATAAGCAACATCAGGAGGAGGCCTGTAACACCGCTGCTGCTTTCTGTCCTGACACCGAGAGCTTGCTGTACCTGTTCTCATCTGTCAGCGTCCTGAAATGTTTCATCATCGACCTTTATGTATTTTCTGGCAGAGTGCATCTCAGCATGGAGAGCAACACTGCTACAGAGGTAGCAGACCACTTGGCGCGCACCTTCTCCCAGGTGGTGTTCATCGACATCCCTCAGTCATACCCACCGTCCACCCACGTCACCTGCAGCTACACCCTCACTGCGGCCTTCCAGCCCAACCCTAGGGACTGGGTGGGCATCTTTAAGGTGGGTTGGATCAATTAAATCCTCAACTTTTTT